ACTCTGAGGACTTTGCAGCAGTGCAGACTTAACAGCAATGGGGAGAATGGTGCGAAGCTATGAAGCACTTCCCCGTTTCTGGGTTAGAGCAACCCTCCCACCCAGGGAACTGGGAATGTCTGTCCGGATACTGACTCCCAAAGTTCCCGTCTTCAGCCCACTTGACAGCCGGGAAGAGGGTGAAGGCCTCGCCCAGGGCATGCCCCAGCCCCACGCCCAAAGGGACTTCCGGCCTTGGGTAGCAGGAAGTGGCTAGGCGCTCCCTCCCTCCACCCCAGGCAGCTTCCTGCCAGCCCCAAGCTGGGGAAGAGTCAAGAGAAACCATTTAGGGGAACCTGGAACCCTAAAGGAGCAAGCGAGGGCTCAAGTTCACGTCTCACTTTCGTTTATTTGAAATTAGGTGCTCGTGTAAGGTTCCCCCCCTTCAAATTTCATTTCAATAAAATACTTGGGCGAGGTGGATCCCCCCAGAGCCAAATCCTCTCCCCGAGGGTGGCTAATGCTATCTGCGGAAAGTCTGTCAGTGGAAGGAGGAACTACGGGTGGGATCCTGCCTGAGGCCTCCACCCTCAGCCCAGGAGACATCACAGGCAGTTAAAAAAAATCATAAAAAACCCAAAAAACACACACATTTAAATAGGTATCCAAGACAGCTTAAAAAATGCACCCACTTAACCCCCCCTTTTCTTTTTGGAAAAAAGATTGAAAAAAACCAAACCAAAATCTTGGCCTCTACACTCCAGGATCAATCCCTTTCCCACCCCCCACCCACACCCCCAAAAAAACTTTACAGCTACAGTCAACACTTGTTCACACCCCAAACCATTAAGGTCAAACACGGGGGAGGGGGGTAGAACACCTGGGGTTCACAGACTAGAACAAAGGAGTCAAGGACAGGAGGAACCTACATAAAACAGACAGATGTTAGGGGTGGGAACAGATCCCACTAGCACAAAATTTTAAAATGTGGAGAAAAAAAACCAAACACCCCACAAGATTTACCCTTGTTGAAAAGGCCCCAATTCTTGGGGAGGGCTGTCACCCACAGATCAGTGAGGCCAATTCGGCCCAGCAGCTGGCCCTCCCCTGGGTGGGGTTAATGCAGTTACAGCTGAGCACCCCATCCCCCTTCCTTGATGCAGATGAGGCTGCCCCTCTAGCTGGGCATGGGGAGATGTACAGGGGTGTCTCTCTGGGGCCCCCAACCACCACCTACCCCATTTTTTCCCCCTAGAGAATAGCAACCACTACTGGCTCAGTCAGAAAAATGGAATCTATAAATAGTCCCCAAGCTCCACTGGGAAGGAAGTGTAGAGGATAGGTGGGTATGGGGGAGGGAGAAAGGGGACAGTGGAGTTGGTGATCTACAGAGAAGATGGTCTGAGGAAGAGGGGCATCCCCAGCTGACCACCAATCACCTGCCTCAGTGTTCTCCATCCAACTAGCTTTTCATGGCAAGAGCAGGGCCAGCCAGGCACAGTGGCCGAGGCCTGGTGTAGCGCTGCAGACTGAGGCAGGAGGAAGGAGCTGAATGGGAATTGTGGACAAAGGGTTCCCCTGTGAGACCATTCTATTAGTTTCTCAGGGTGGGTGGGGTGGGGGATCCAGCTGGCCTGGAATGGAGGCCAAGTCTGCAGACAGAGGTGGGGGTGGATACACTCATCCCAGGGTCCCCAACCCTCATCTGTAAAGTGCTTCTTGGAGAATCTACATTTTGAGTCAAAAACCTGAATCGGGTTATGGAATGGGGGTGGGGGAGAACTAGGCAGAACGGAAGGGCTGGGGGTGGGTGGCTTCCTCCGTCTGGGCCATCTGGGAACAGACTGCTACATATTTGGAGCTGGAGAAGGTGGGTAGGAAGGGCCCTGGCACAGAGGCCCCCAGAGACGACCGTGGTGAGGAAGGAAAGAGATAGGCATGTGACCAGGGACGCAGGGCAGACAATCGGGAGAAGAGCTAAAAAAGGATCAGAAAGGCTGGTGAGAGTGGCAGTGGAGGTAACCTCCTGCCCCCCGGAGCTGGGCTGCTCAGCGTCCAGGCTGTGGTGTCCCACCCGCCCCATGTCTGGGGTGGGGATGTGACAGACCCAAGGGGGCTGGATCCTTTAAGCCATCACAAACTCGGACTGAATATCCGGGTTAACTTCAGGCTTCCAGACAGAGTCCTCAAAGTCGAGGCCCAAGCCTCCAGCCTCTCCGGGGCCACCCCCACCCCCACTGCTGCTGCTGTCACTGCGGCCAGCTTTGCGGCTGGGGGTCCAGTGGTAGGGACCGCGAGCGTCCCGCCTGGCCTTCCTTCGCAGACGCTTCTGCTGCAGCAGAAGCTGGAGGCGTTCCACTTTGCAGCGTGTAGCGCGGTTCTCTGTCTGTCGCAGACGGTCTCCTACAGAAGAGAGGCACCCATGAGTCTTGAGCCCCCCAAGGCGGAGGTTGGAGCACCAACCATGGTGAGCTAGGAAGCCCCTTGCCCCAGTCTCACTGCTCTACAGTTAGCTCTTGGAACATGTTGGGGAGGGCAGACAGGCCAATGAAAAATGAGAAAGTAAGCTGGGTTTGGTGGCGTATGCCTTTGATCCCAGGATTCCAGAGCCAGGAAGACCAAGGCCAGCCTGGTCTACACAGTAAGTTCCAGGACAGCTGAGCTATGTGGTGAGATCCTGTTTCAAAAAACAAAACAAACCAAAACAAAAAAAGGAAAAAGAAAAAGAAAACCCACCCCACTCCCAAACAACAACAACAACAACAACAACAACAAAACACAAATGAGTTTGGCCAATGTAGGTTTGGATACCCTTGTCAAGGTTTATTTAGGAAGCAGAGACACTCCAAGTTCAAGACCAACTTGGGCAACAAAGTGAAAACCCTTCTGAAAATAAACGAGAACTGAAGGCTTGGCTAGAAACCCTCATTGAGGTGCTGGGGTGTGGCTCAGAGGTAGAGACCCTGCCTAGAATCCCCTAGTGCGGCGGGGGGTCTGGCTCAGAAGTATAGCCTCTGCCTAGAATCTTGGGAGGTGTGGGGGGGGCGCGGATGGACAGGACTATAATGGACGGACAGTACACAGGACAGACAGCCTTGCTAATGAAACAAAAAAAAAAACCTAAAGCAAACCAAAATCTAAAGAGCCTATTTCAAAACCACAAGTAGACACCTTTAATCCCAGCACTCAGGAGGTAGAGGCAGGGAGATCTCTGAGTTCGAGGCCAGCCTGGTTTTTGGAGTAGTAAAAAGCTTGTGCCTCAGTTTCCCACTTCTACGAACATGGCTGTGGAAGCAGGTGATCTAGGTAGGGCAGTCCACTGTTAGAGTGGGGATGGGTACATATGGCTGTGTCTAGAGGGCGAGGACTGATTCAGTCATTCATGATAGTGCCAAAGGCACTCTGGAGATAGGCCTGGGAGGGAAGGAGGAAGTGGTGATGAAGTCTCCTGGAGCTCACAAGGACACTCTATGCAGCCATAAACAGTTGCCTCCTTTTCTCTGAGCTGGGGCAAGTGGGGGGGGGGAGGGAACAGCTGCCAGCTCCAGGGGGTCCCCAGTCAGCTCAGCTGTCCCCTCATCCACAGCACAGAGGAGGCCTTGAGAAGCAGGGGGGCTGGGAGGAGACAGGGCTACTCACCAGGGGGCTTGCACATTCGGATCTGGCTCTGGCCCTGGAGCAGGGAGGTGGGGGCCGTGGCTGCCAGCTTTTCACAGGAGGTAGTTTTGGGGGTGAGGTCAGGGGCTGGTGAGGCAGGTGAGCACTGGGCGTGACAGCGTAGCTGGGTCAGCGAGGGTGGCATGCCCTGGTAATGCCGTGTGGCACTTAGGAGGTCATTGAGTATCTGCAGAATGGTGCCAATGTCCCGTCGCGGCCTCCCACTACTGTCTTGGCAGTTGGGGTGCAGTGTGCCTGCAAATGGAAAGGTTGTCTAAGTTATTGTGGCATGGCAGTGAGAGAAGGCCCAGAGGGTAGTGGGCAGACCATGTATTTAGTCTGCAGTGTCCAGGTTTGGTGGCATGTATCTATTATACCAGCTACTCAGGAGGCTGAGGTCTTAAAACCCTAAGCCAGTCTGGGGGAACTCAGAAAGACCCCATCACAATATAAACAGTATAGTAGGCTTGGGACAGGACTCAGGGGGTGTGGCGCAGAAGCAGTGACCTGGGTACTATCCTCAATGTCACAGTAAGCACATATCACTACAGATAGCATGCCTATGTGTGTAGGGTCACACAGGTACATGCCCCAGGTTCCTGGGGAAGATATTTAATAAGCACAGCCGGTACATGAGCCTCAAGATCACTCATGTAGGGCTATACTTACCAGAGAAGGTCCCTGAGAAGACCCCAGGAGCATGATTCACGAAGCTCTCAATGACGGCACCGGGTTTTCGGGAGCGAGGGGTGGGGTTGCTGCCTGGGGTTGAGGTGGCACTGCTGCTAGCTGGTGGGGAACAGTCCATCTGCTGCTGGGAGATTAGCAAATGGGTATGGTTGTGACCAGTCCATTCCTTAGCTCAGGTTCCCACTACCTCTAGGGCAGCTTTGTCAGGGTCCACCCACCAGTCCAGCATTCCAGATGTAATGCACTGGGGTTCAGGGAAACAGCATTTGATACAAAGGCCACAGCTGGAGCCCTCAAAATACTCCCCTGGGACCAAAGGTTAAGTGCTGTCATCCTTACCTCGGGACAGGTTGAGGAGGCTGCATGGGATCGAAAGGAGCCGGCGGTGACAGGTGAGGGAGACACAGGTGAGGGGCTGCTGGGTACTGGGGGGACGCGGGCGGCACTGGACACTGGCCTACAGGTTGAGGACACCGGGGCAGTCACACTGGAATCTCCCCGGGCAGCGGTGGCGGCGGCGGCGGCAGCTGCGGCCAGCACGTGGCGGTGCTGGAGTGGGGCGTGTTGGGCGGCCAGTTGCAACTGTACAAACATCATGTGATCCCCAACTCGAAGGGCCAGGGTCAAAGGTGAGCGGCCTGACAAAAAGTCACTGACCTAAAGAAAGAAGTAGGGAGATACTCTTCAGTTGATGGGGCTCTGATCTCTGATGCCCCCAGCCCAGCCCAGCCCAGCTCTCCCCGCAGTGTGTGACCTGGGGCCTCTCGCCGCCCCTCTCTGGGCTCTGGGGTCCCTGTCGGTGCCACGGACGCTTAAATAAAATCAATCTGTATTTCCGGAAGCCTCCTCCGGCAGCCCGGCCTGGCCCGGGTGTCGCTGGGGGCTGTGGGGGGGACAGAGGTGGGTCAGATTGGGGCCTCTGCTCTGGGTCCTTTAAAGGGGAAACTGAGACCAGAGGGGCAGGGGCCCAGCAGATGGTCACTGTCCTCCCTCAAATAAGTCTCCCTCTCCCCTCAGACCCCAGACTCTGTCTGTCTACGCAGCACAAGAGAACCCTGTCAAGCTCCACTTCATAGCTAAAGCCACCCAAGATGCTGGATCCTGAAGGAACTCATCAGGGTTAACCTTTGCTTTCCCAAGATAAATATTTATATGTCCTGGGCTGGGCTGGAGACGCAGGGTGGGGGGGGGGTCTGGAGGCCTGTCCCCATGGGCCTCTATACATCCTGGTAAGCATGAACTCTCTGACCTGCCAGCCCTCCCCTCCCCCAAACACTCTGTGGGGGCTGATTTGTGGGCCTACCTGACCCTCAGATGCACTGGGTACCCTCTCTCTCCCACCTCTGGTGCTCTGGCCATTAGCCTTATTCTCCCCAGAGGCCAGGGTGTGTAGGGGGAGGTTTCTGAGAAGTGACATAGGCCTATGAGTCACACCAGACTGCCTCGCAGAACTCCCTCCCCTGGCTCTGCTGGCTGAGGGCTGGAGTAACCTTCTCTGCTTGGGGCCCCATGGGGAGGGATGTGGGTAGGCACCCTGAACTCCCTCCTCCCTCCTCATCACGCCCTTTACAGGTAAGAGTTGAAGTATTTTCCTGGGCAGCTAGGATCACCCCTTTCTCCCAGGGTGAGGACAAATGTGTGGCCAGATGAGAAATCCTCTCTGGTGACCTCAAGGCTCCACCCAGCACCCATTTCTAACTCCCTCCTGGCAGGCACCCGCCCCCCCAGGCCAGCACACAAGTCTGCTCAAAGTCAGCCCAGATAGTCACCCTAGTCCCCACCTCTGGCCCCAAGAACTCCTTGTTCTCCCAGTATCCCTCCCAGAGGCAGGACCACCCAGCTTTGGAGCCCTTGTTCTGCCTATACCAGGAAACAGGATGCTACACTCTCGTAATCTATGGACTGAGGGCCTTAGATGAGCAGGTCTCCTGTATCAGGAGGTTCAGGGGTCCTTTCCACTTTGTCTCATCAGGGCAGGCAGGAGTCTGCTCCCCTGCTCCAGGGAAAAAATTACAGAGGCCAGTGTCACTGTACTAGAGGACCGAGGGACTCTGAGAGAGGAGGGCCCTGCTGTGGCCAAGAATGAGGAAAGAAAGGAGGTGGGGGGGAACTCTCCTCACAGCCAGGCTCAGCCTCCCTTCTGGCTGCTTACTAAATATTTTAACATCCTGTCTAGGCCTCCCTGGCCCAGGGTTGGGTGCCCCTGCCTCCCCCTCCCCCTATTGGGGCAGTGAACAAAGGCCAGAGCCAGGAGGAGGGGGAGATGGATGACTCCCCACTCTTTGTAGTGGCAGGGCTAGGTTTTGTCACCTCAGTTCCCCAAAGGCACAATCCCAGAAATCAGGTTTTTTGTTGTTTTTTTTTTCGGGGGGGGGGAGATACTCTACAGTGAAAGTGTGCTGGGCTGTGGCGGGTACAAGTTCCAGCGAGTGCAGGCCAAGGTCACCCACAGTCAGGGCTGGTCAAAAGATCGGCCCTTCCCCCTACCCCATGGCAGTCACCGTGGGAGAGAAAACTTCTCAAGGTCAGGTGGTCAGGTGCTGGGGGAGGCTCGGAGGAAGAGGAAGCGGGGTGACCAGGCCAAGCTGGCACCAAGGCGGGGCTTTCATCCCCTCCCCCACAGGCCACCAGGGAAGCACAAACAACTGGAGGCTCTCTAAGGGTGTCCCGAGAGTTGCGTTGCGTGATGCCTAGGCGTGGCCACTGCCTGCAGCCCCCTGGGTTAGGGGGAGGGTGGTAGGTGCTTACCTGGGTCTCGGTCAAACTTTCCAGAGCTTGCATAACGGACTGCTCCGGCCTCGAGGCCTGGGACTACAAAGAGAGGGATGAAGAGTGTCTTCAGTGTAGGCTTCGAGCAGGAAATGGGGAGGGGGCTAGGGGTGTGTGGGAGAGCTCTGTACAAAGGGCAGGATGGTGCATTTGTGGAGTGAGGTGGTCTGGGGACAGGGAGACTCCAGGGCACGCGCCCCTCAGTCATTTACCATGAGACCGGCTTCCACCGTGGGCACGAGCGTCAACTTGCTCCCATCCCCCACGCCGAATTCCTGCAGCTTCCCCGAACTGAGCCGGCTGGGGGTAGGAAGGAAGAGGGTGAGACGGGAGACAACACAGAGACGCGGAAGCGGAGGCCGAGGAGGAGGGCTGTGCGTGTGCA